ATATATATATATATATATATATAAACATAAATATCACAGAAATGGAGGCTAAATGGTGAATATAGGATTTCTGGATACTAAGGCTTCGATGCCACGAAATCAGGGAGAGGAATATAATAGATATATCATAAATATCTATTATTATAGATATATAATAGATATATTATAGATATCTGTTATTGATATATAATATTTGCGCACAGTAATAAGTATACAAGGTGATTTAAATCCTGGAAATTAACCTTTCCATCTTAGGTTTGAAATAAAATTTTTTAGCTTGGGCCCAGCTTTCTAATCAATTAAAGGTCATTTCGAATATTGATCCTCTCCTTTTGGCGATGATTAGCTAATGACCTCCTAATTTGGGGTCATCTACAAATTTGATAAGGATGTCCTTCTCTTCTTTCATTGATAAAGGTCTTGGACAGCAAACTGGACAGCCCAGGACAGAATGCCACTGGACACCCCACTGGTCACTTCTCTCCAGGACGAAGAAGAGGAGCCATTGCTGAGGGTCCGGCCGGTCAGCCAAATATTAATGCATTTAATGGTTTCATTGTCCGGCCGATATTTTATTATCCGGCCACCGACGCACCTGGAAAAGGGTCAGCGGGACACGCTTCTTGGAGAGTTGGGTCTGCACCTGATCGACCGCCTTCTTCGAAAAGTGCTGCAAAAATATAATAATAATAATAATAATAATAATAATAATAATAATAATAATAATAATAATTTAATGCATGGGTCGGGAGCATTTGGGAGCCCCAAACAACGGACCACCAATAATTTAATGCATGGGTCAGGAGCGTCTGGGAACCCCAAACAATGGACCACTAATAATAATTTAATGCACAGGTTAGGAGCGTTTGGGAACCCCAAACAATGGACCGCCAATAATTTAATGCATGGGTCGGGAGCGTTTGGGAGCCCCAAAACAAAGGACCGGTCACCTCTCCGGTTGTCCACTTGTGGACTCTGTGGTCATTGATTAATTGAAGCCCACCCTCCGGACCCACTTTTAGGGTTTTTTTTGGACCCCAGAGGTTCCTACTTACATGTGAGCAAGACAGAAGCTCCTTCATGATGTATGTATCATAGATCTGACGGCTTTTGCTGAGGCGGTCCTCCTCCGAATCCAGCTTTTCGTACTCTTTGATCTGTAAAAGATATGCCCCTTATCGAAGCGTTTGCAAAGCTTGACCCTTATAGGACTGGACAGTCTCCCTTGTTTTAAGGAATATCCTTTATTTGAGCATTTGCAAAGCTTGACCCTTGTAGGACTGGACAGTCTGCCTTGTTTTACGCAATGTTTCCTATATGAGGATTTGCAAAGCTTGACCCTTGTAGGACTGGACAGTCTGCCTTATATCCCTTATTGAAGCATTTGCAAAGACTGACCCTTGTAGGACTGGACAGTCCCCCTTATTTTAAGT